TCTCCCCAATCTCTCGCACTCTCTCATCTCTCTCTCTCTTTCTCTCTCTCTGTCTCTCGCTGTCTCTCTCTCTCTTTCTCTCTCTCTCACTCTCTCTCTCTCTCTCTCTCTCTCTCTCTCTCTCTCTCTCTCTCTCTCTCTCTCTCTCTCTCTCTCTCTCTCTCTCTTATAATGTGATGATGATGATTTTTTTCCCCTTAATGGGCCTGGTGGACTCCACGAAGAAATCTTGGAGCGAGAGCGAGGCTCTTTATCGGCTCCATTGTCATTATACTCGATCAGAGGCACCTCCACTCGTCCAAATAACCCCATTCGAATTGCCATTGTTCCTGGACATTCAAACGTTTGTTTGACATCCTCCTTTTCATGGCTGCATCTTAGGCAACGTGGGTTGAGCTCTTCATTCACAAAGTTCTGATACCATCTCAAGCAGTCTCGCTAGCTCAACCTGGTCCCAGCGACATGTGATGTTTTGTTCCTGCTTATTGGAGTACCCAGAATACACATCCTCTTGGTGCTGGTACTTTGATGGCGAGTAGAGGTGCCTCTTTGCAGTGACTTTGATGATGATGATGATGATGATGATGATGATGATGATGATGATGATGATGATGATAATGATGATGATGATGATGATCGGAATTATTCATAAACAATAAGTATGCTTCCAGGGAAGCTGAGAATGTTTCGGAGTGTTATATGGTCTGCTGGGGTAATAATAGAGTGTAAAGCGCATAGAGCCTGCTGTTGAGCGGGGATATGCGCTATACAAATGCTATCTATTATTATTATTATTATTAAGTAGAACAATTCAACACAACCTCGGTAAGACGTTCACGGTATAAAACGATGTAGGCCTACTAGATCTAGATTCTAGATCTATCGGCTGTTAACATTCAATTTCTGAAGCCCGACCTCGAAGTCCCATTTTAGTAGGCCCTATTTCTGCTCTTTTTAGCTTACACTACGTAGGTCTATCCTGTCGAAGTCGTTCACAGTCTCTTGGGTCCGAAGCAAACAGCTTATATTCGGTGATATAACCTCTTTGGTCCGAAGGGAGTGCGTTTAACCTGTTTTACAGTATTTCCGTCTTCCTCAATAACACAATAATTATTGTGTGGTGTGCAGACAAATAAATGAGCTACTTTCGCAATCTACGAATGGAAATATCAGCTGAAATTTGACACAGGGGGCAAATTTAAGCTGCAGATTTTCAACTGATGCCATTTTCTATAAGTTTAACAAGTCTTTTGGCATATACAAACAAATTGTACAAACTCATCCTCTAAATTTGGCATAATATCTTGGTCTTACAATCGACAACAAATTTACATCGCAAAAATCACGTAAACAATATCGTTAAAAACGTAAATCAGGGGCTGTACTTTCTGAGGAAACTTAGGTCCTTCAATCTGAATCCATCCATCCTTCAGATATTCTACACCCCCACAATAGACACTTTGATAAATTTTGGTATCTCTTGCTACCGTAGCAATTTGGGAAGACAGTGCATCATAAAAATAAATAAGTTGATCAGAAAGGCATCGAGAACAGTTGGTAAAGAGACCAAAGCAACTTTGAATGTATGCACAAAACAAACGTTCTAAAAAAGGCCGAAATAATGCTAAGTGACCCACTGACATCAGAATTTCAATTACCGACTCGCGTCCAATAAAAGCAAGAACAGACAGATATAGAAATTCATTCGTACCAACTGCAATCAGGTTACTGAGCACATAGTGTTACAAATGAACCACACACACACACACACACACACACACACACACACACACACACACACACACACACACACACACACACACACACACACACACACACACAGAGAGAGACACAAACACACACACACACATACACATACACACACACACACACACACACACACACACACACACACACACAGAGAAAGAGAGAGAGAGAGAGAGAGAGAGAGAGAGAGAGAGAGAGAGAGAGAGAGAGAGAGAGAGAGAGAGAGAGAGAGAGAGAGAGAGAGACGGAATGAGACATGTAGGCCTATTTACTACATGTATATTATTATTGTCCTGTCTTGTTGTGCTGCGCGTATGCGTGAGTGCACCTAGCCTTTGTAACATCACTACCATTGTAAATGACAAAGACAAACTTCTCCCTGCGAGATGAATAATGATTGTTATAGTCATTGCCTTAATATGGTCGCTTTTAAGCACAAGGTGGCTATCCCGAAAAATACTGTTGTGAGAAAATTGAAGGTTAAGTTTTTGCCCCAAGTACAGTTTCTTTAAAATACAAGGAGAGTTTTCTCTATAACTAAACAAATATACACACCAATGAATCAAACTTCTTCAATAAGTATGGCAACGCCCACTTTTGGTGTAGGTCAAGATTTCTGGAAACCCCCGAAATCTGGGATAGCCTGCTTGTCCTTAACCCTATCCGTACGTCGTGTTTTACTATCGTATCAATACGACGTGGGGAACTCAGTGCCACCACTTTCCAACACAGAAACTTACTCTGTTATCCGATCCGTACGCTTTGCAAAGCAGTCTGTCAAAATGATTTTTTTGGAAATACTGAAAGTTTCAAAGAGATCTTCGCACTAGAAGTATTCTAAAATGTAAAGAAATGGTACAAAATGACACCAGGGCGTACGGATAGGGTTAAAAGCCACCATATTATTATATCATAAATATCCGTCCATGTCCATTTACCCCTCCCCCCC